ATAAGAAAGCATAGCATGGATCTCACATATTTGCTAAGTTCAGAACCCAGAGTCAAGATTAACTTTTTTGTGAAGAGTATTTATTGTTTATTGACTATAGGCCACATAATATCATGATAAAAAAGTGTTTGTTACGCTAACCTGTTGATTCAACTTGCGCAAGCGGCCGAGCAGTAAATCCGCTGAATGCAGTAATTTGAACTCGATGAATAAGCTCCCTACACACCAGATTTTGCTATTTTCCCGTGCATATAGTGAATTAGAGCCAGTTTTCGCTTACATTGTTCCTTTAAAAAGGCATGCCTTCTCTTCGGCAGATAGCTCTCACATTTCTTTGACATAATAATCCAATATAATTCCGATTAACTATAAATGTAAAACTGTGTCGCAAATACGGCAGAAAAAATGCTGCAGCACACAAGACTAAAATTTCCCAGATTGTTGCTCAAGAATGAGAATTTCAGCTTGTACCCTATCTACAATGTTCACCAGACTTGTCCTGAAATTATTTCTCTTTTGTTTCAAAAACTGAAGCAGTATTTGTATATTTCGTACTAAAGCTTTATATCGCGACATAGGTGTCGCCATCTAGGGTTTAATTTCATAACCACTGCTAGACTCTGAAAACTATATGTCGCCATCTGGTAGAAAATTCTGTCACATAAGTTTTGCCAATATGTTATCTATTAAATTGACTCAGTTATTTTGTATCTCATCCAGCTTAATATTTATCTTAATTTAATTCAATAGAAGTAACTCTTATTACCTTCCATGATCTTTTTTTACTTCAAAATAGACACACCATTCAATAATATTGTTCATTATGTTATTCCTTTTGAACCCCTCCCCCGACCAATGTCTGTCTTCCAAGTGGGTGCACTTCCTTTTCAGATTCATCATTGTCAAAGACGACCAGTACCTCCGCCCTCTTCACTCAAGTACCTCCATAGACAACGCCTTCAACTCAGACGAGCTCTCGCCATTCTGACGCTAGTACGCAGCAACAGATATGCCTTACTGCATACCTAGGGACACTTGCATTTACACCGCCGGACATCTATAGAACTATCTCAAAGCCTACTGTATCAGAAGACTCTAAAATTGCACTTTCACGAGATTTTTTATCTTAATTACGAACTTTGTCACGTTAGGTTAGAACAGATATGCGCTTTTCGTTCACGTTAGGTTAGAAAAGATATACGCTTTTCGTACGAGTTCTACACAGGATGTGGTTTTATAACCCGGGTGCCTGCTGACAAGTGTTTCTAACACCTGAGTCTTCATACTAAAGCAGGGGCATACGGGGCAGTTGCTCCGGGCCCTCCCATCACTGAAGGGCCACCAAATCGAAAAGAAAGTTTATTATTATAAAAATTTAAATATCTCTAAAAAGTTCGCTTATTCATTACTTAAGTAGTGAGGCAGAGGGGAGGGGGGGGAATAATTTTTGCCCTGGGCTCCAGTTAAGCAAAGTCGGGTCCTGTTCATACTGCAGTTTGATGATCATTTGAATGATGTTCAGGAATGATTGGAAGGCTGTGATAATTTTTTTTTTCATTGGAATACAATGATTAAGTCATAGCTGTAAGGAAAATGATTATGGAATTTTAGACATTTATTTTCTACAAATTTTTTACGCTTAAACTTACTGTCTTTCTACATAGAACATTCATAAGTTTCAAGGCTATTAAGTTAAACTGCAGAAAACTTTCACTTTTTAATGTCTTTTTTGTTCTCAAAAAGAGACATTAAAAACTGAAAACAAAAAATTACAGAAGAATTAATGTATTGATGACAAAAAAAAAAAAAAAAAAAATTCACAGGAATTCACCACACAAGCCAGTTTAAAAAAAATAGTAATTGAACTAAAGAAGCTGATATTTTGGATAGTGTTGCTGTTTATTAAAAATGCATTTAAGCCAATTTTTTCTCGAAATTTTATTTCATGTTTTCAAAATTTTATTCATACAAATAAGCATTATTTGAATAAGTTTGAAATATTCAGATTTCGGAAAATGTAAGTTTTTCCCAGGTTTCTTTGTCATCATTCTAAATCTCAAAACAAAGTTATAGCACGTTACTTCACAGACAGTCTTGATTAAAAATCTGTGCAAAAATAACACTCAACAAGAGAAGTTATCCTAGCTCTATCTAAGCAAATGTTCTGTGAAATATATTTATGTAGATATATTTAATTACATATATTATTATAAATACAAAGTTTAAGATTTTTACTAAACATGCATCGCTATTAGCTTCATAGTTAAAGCTATAAAACATTTGTAAGCTGATCTCGGGTAGGTTCGTGGCTGACTTAGCATTTCTTGTATTTTGTAATTGGAAAAGCAGAAATGAGACAAATATAATTTAGTAAGTCTTCCAGGAGAGTATCTCTTCTTTATAAACAAAAAATATGAGACTGAGTTAATAATTTATGACAATAAACAATAATATCCATTTGATAGCTCTATCTAAGCTTGAATTTGTGATAATCAGAAAATTTTAATTAAGCCCTTAATTTTTAAGATTTGTGAAGTTTTGTACTAGATACATTAAAACTGAGTCATGTAAAGTATGTCATCATGTCTAGTTTCTAGTACTTCCTTATTAAAGAGGCCATTGCAATTAGCTATCAAAACTTGAATACAGAAGTACCCAGTTTCTTTCCATTTTTACAGTAGATATCACTCAAAACAGCTTTATGTACCTTACCAGGCACATGAAGTCAAGATAAAAACTTTTTTTCCCAAGATGATGATAAGTTACAGTCAAGCCTCCAGCAATGAACACTTCACATTATCAGATATATGTCATTAATACGCAGTTCCTTACTTTCCACGTCGTTGAAGCAGAAGACAATTGCACACGTATTTAGCAGTCCTGTAACTGTCTAGTAGTAAGGGGGTTTTACTACATTTCACTTTATTGTAACGTATATACATGATGTCATTAACTATGTCTTCAAAGATATCCTTACTACTACGATGATGAAAAACTGTAGTTGCTTATCATAGTGTTAACCTTAATTTTCCGTCTGTTAAAACTATAAACTTGATCCAAGACAGCCTGATATTTATACGTATTATTTTAGCTTTGTAGCTTTTATTTTACGTATTTAGTATGATATTGAAGTAACAAGTAACAGAGTGTCATGCATATATAATTATTTTAGCTTTGCCTGATATTTATACGTAACATATTGAAGTAACAAGTAACAGAGTGTCATGCATATATAATTATTTTAGCTTTGTATATATTGTTAATGTTTACATCAGGACAATCCAGCTATTTATTAACTGCAAGACTCTTCTTTTTTTAATTGCAATCTACTGGTGTGAGGGAAAGTGTAAAATATAATTATGTAAAGTGCCAGGCATATATTAACATAAACAGAATTATTTTTGCTTTGGATATATTTCCATGTTTTACTGTCAGGACAATCCACCTATTTTGTAGACACATTTTTTTACTTGCAATCTACTGGTATGTGGTAAAAGAATAAAATTAATTTATACTGTCAAAAGTCGTTAATCCGGACTCGTCGGGGCTTCGGCGATTCCGGATTATAGATCATCAGTTTAAATCTGGTAAGATGGCATGCAGAAATTATAAAATTAAAAATACGAAACCATAATTTATAAAATAAAGAACAATTAGGATCTAAAGGGTATCAAAATTTACAAAAAAAAAAGCTTAATTTTGTTTACTTTATTAAACATTTCTTTCAATATAGTTGTTAAGTTGCTTCGTTTATCTGATAACACTTTCTCTTTCATTCTATAAACAGACATAATTTTCTTGTTCATTACAAGTTCCGCTGTTCAAGTCCTATGTCAAGTCCTATAATTGCTGTGTCGAGAATACAGACTAATTTGTCAATAGAAATTTTTTCATTTCAATAACCTCTGTGTCACATTCTTCATGTCTTTATCCATTTTTTGTTTGCAGCAATTCCACTTTTTATATTTTATATAAATATCAAAACATTAACCCTTCTAACAAAAATTTTTAAAATACAAAAACAGTCTTGTTTTATAATAAAATAAATAAAAAAAAAATCCCTTCATCTCAAACTCTCATTCCCCCAAAACTGAATAAAATCTATACTATTTTATAAGGATCTTAAGTTTTACTAACATTTATTTTATTTTAAAACTTTACTGTTCTCTCTTATTTTCCACTTCCGGAAAGAATAAACGCCTTAATCTGTTTATGCAAATTGTGCTTGCTTACCATAAAGTAAATTAAAATGTGACTTTTTGCCAAGTAGAGAGAGAGAATGAGCCTTCTCGCCACTTTACTTCACGCATGCTTTCAAGTCAGTTGCTATCCGCCTTTAAGGTCAGAGGTTTAGTCCTCTTGATACTGAAGACGTATTGTAGTTTTCCCGCAGTTTGCTACATACGTAAAAATCTAAAAGGCCAATCTTAGTGTTACTAGTTTGTGTAAAGTATTCGAGTTTAGCTCTTATTTAAATTTAGTTATTTTTTTCTTTTACTTACACAAAATAATTTCCTATTTGTACATACATTTTACATTACCAAGAATCAGAAGTCTTTAAGTCATTTTCTGAAAAAAGTAAAAAACTGGGGAAGGAGGGAAAATATGCGGGTAAATACAGTATACCTTTATATATATATATATATACATAAATATAGTTATTTGCTTGGAGAGAAAAAAAACTTAGCTATTCCTTTTTTAAAATCGCTATCCTGGTAACTGAATAGATGATCTATGCTTCAATTTGACACTGCCCTTCACATAAAATAGAAAATCACATGTGAGAAATGTGTGTTATTATTTGTTTAAAAGGACATATTGTAAGCTGCTATTAGAAAGAAAATGCATACATAATTTCAAGTTATTTGTCTTAAATATAGACGAGAGAAATGTCAGTATGAGTGAAAAGGCCTCTGTTTAATTCATGTAAACAATTACTACTATCCATTCAGTTGAAAGATATGAAGATGTGAAAAAAGTATTCACACATTATCCTATATAGACAAAACGTCTTTTTTAATAATATGTTTTACAGCAACAGGAAAAACCAATCAGTATGCAAGAATAAAAAACATTTTAAAATTAAAACAAATCACAAAATATTAGAGATTATAACTGAGGTTTGATTACAATCATCAGTGCCCAGTATTAAAAATTCCAGCCTACAAGTTGATTAAGAAAATACTTATATTTATCATTCTATTTAAAATGCTTGCATTTATCATTCAATACAAAATGCTTGCACAGCGCTGGATGACTTCTCCAAATAGCAAGAGTATAAATTGTATGCCCTCATATTCCAAAAACAGACAATTTTTCATATTTCAACACATTGATCTTTACTAATGCTATTTAATTCTTCTTGATTTTGGTTCCGTATCTGAGATAAATAGGAGTAAATTTATCAAGGAAAATTCCAAAATAATTCTTTTCAGGAACACTTTTCTATCAAATCTTTTAATTACGAATTCTAAGCAATGTGGTTGGAGCTCTGATTTGGATAGTAAAACTGTTTTCTGGGGTTTCTTGCATTTTTATGAGGTCACACTGCCATAAACATGTTTACACATACTGGGGCAAACACTATGAATGCAAAATTTGTAAATCATCTGCACACACAAGTGCATAAAAAAGACAAATACTGATCCATAACAATGAGAAATGACATGAATGTGATATTTGTAACTAGTTATTCCCAGTAAAATGTGTGTTAGAAACAAACATATTTTTACCCACACTGGTGAGAAGTCATAAACATGTGCTAAATATAGCAGTTCATTTAAATTCAAAGGTAATTTAGCAATACATGCGCTTATTTATTCTCATCAAAAATCACATGAAAATGTTATACGCAATAAATCATTTGCATGCAAGAGTGACTTAGCTAAGGAATGCTACCTTTGGAAGAGGATCTCTCAAATTTAATCTTCAAATGTTTCATGTTGCTTGACTTCTGTTCTTGTGAAACTTCAACTGGTTTTCACACTTCTTTATCTAATCACTATAACGCCATTTCTTGCAAACTGCAAATACAAATAAGAAAATATAAAGAATTACAAAATAACCTTACTTCTGAAAATATTATTTGAATTTTCAAAACTCAACACAACGTAAAGCCGACAATTAAAGTCAAGAAATTATCGAAATTGGTATATACATATTTTTAATTCATTTTTTAAACCTGGAACAGAATAACAATAGAACTCTGAATTAAACTTATCAGAAACACAAAACTGTAATTAAAATCTATTAAGGTTCACTAGAAAGCATGAAATTATATGCTTTAAGGTTATCTACCTAAATGATAAATAGAATTTGGGTGGAAATTAAGGATATAGATTTCTAAATAGATTAAAAATAAATAGAATAACGTAAATTAACTTCCTTGATCCTTGAAAATGAAGGCTGTGAATTTTCAGAATATTCTTCCCTTGTTTACAGCAATGCCAGTACAACACATCTTTCAAAATCTAACTGAGAATTTTTATGGTTTACAGCAATATTATAGTTTCCAAGCATTTGATTTAACTCGTTAAAGCCACCACCTTTCCTTCTGCTTGTAAGCGGATCCATTATATCAAAGTTAGTTTCAATAGTTACTACAGGACTGTCATTCCATTGACAGTCCTGTAGAAATGTTAAAGTCGTTAAGTGTCAATTTTTTCCCCCCAGTTTATACTATCTCATTCGAATTCCCATCCAAAAGGAACTCTTCAGCTTACATCAATGGAGCCATCAAATTCATGTGTTTTTTTCGATTCAGAACTTTGCTAAAGAAAACGAGCATTTTGAGTAAGTTAAACACTTCTGTTGAATGAATGCCAAAAAAAGTCCCTTCTAATGGATTATATGCGTAATATCCTAGCTGTATAAAAATTCAGCTATCGTAATTAAAATTATTTAAACTAATAATTTTCTGAAGTATAGATATTGATAAATAATTTTACATGATTAGGTATTATAACTGTGATACTGTATACATAATTTAAATTATGATACATTGAATATGCTTAAGTATAACACAAAAAAAAAAAAAAATAAAGGTGACTCTTCAAATCAGTTTGTTCATTTGTCTTGCCAGTTGTGCAACTGTTAATTAAATAGTATCCATTTCTTATACTACAATATATATTCAAAGTAACCCCATTTCATCCATACTTAACTGAAGACATTATTCATCAAACAAATTTTTCAAGTAATGCAAAAAGACATAATATTTTCTAAAATTCTGGAGTATTGTATAAATACTGAACTCAAATCTGTGTTAACTTACTTAGTTCAGTTGAAGGCTTTTCCTTTCAAAGTCAAGGAATGCTAAATAGTGAATGCAGTTTTATAAGTGCTAATTTAATATATTGAAGGATTTTTAATTATATTCAAAATAAGCTATTATTTTTATCACAGCTCTAATCTACTTGAACAGTGACTGGTTATGTTATGTTACATTGGCAATACTACCACCCATGATTTTGGTATTCTGAAAGCAATTCTTAAACTGTGGTCCCAAATTAAAAAAAAAAATAAAAAATAAAGCAAAACCTTGATGTTGAAAATTTACTTCAGATAGAGGAATTTGGAGAAACATTAATTACAATCCCTCATTTCTTTTTAATATGTTACACTTTCTCTGCAGTATAATTATAAAACTGTAATAGTGTCTATAATGAGCTGTAAATTACATTTACATGTTGATAAATCAGCAAGAGCATCATAATAATTATATCACATGATGGTTTCAGAATAAAGTCATTCTAGAAACAAAATATGCCACATACATGCAGTATATAACATCTCGTGACACAAAGGCATGCCAATGTGGATGGTATGAAATCATCAAAATTGAAAAGGCATCTTGAATCCAATCATTACTTGTACCAAAAAAAAAAAAAAAAAAAAAAAAAAAACACCTTAAACGACTGTTAAATCTCTCAAATAAAGAAACACAATACTTTCAGAACTTTGACTGTTAGCAAGAAAGTATTTACTCACACCATAAAATGTCTTATATCTGTTTCATAAAAATAAGAAGCCAAACACTACTACAGAGTTTACATTATTTTAAATACAGCAAAGCCATGAAGGCTATCTGCCAAAGAGGAAGGATACCTTAGTGGAGGATTTTCTAAGGGAAACTGGTTCATTTTCCCGTTATGCATGATTAACAGGAAACTGGTTACACATGGAAAAAAAACACAAAAACTAACAATGCAGCAAGCCCATGCCCTTAGGATCAAATACAAACCAGGTCAAACTACAGGTATTCAGAGGTCTGAACCACTAGCCATTGAAGAGGATCTTGCATTACTTGCTGTATTAAAATGGCAAAGGATTTCTCAAGATTCCTCCATCAAATGACTCCAAGCCAATAAAATTTCTAAAATTAACAAAGAACAACTCAAGCAACTTGGCAAGACTATTGAAGCAACTTCAACTGCACGTAAAGAAAGCCCAAATTTACCATTCATCTGGATGAAACAATTGATATTTCAACACAGCTTAGCTGTTAGTATATGTCAGATACATTTATAAAGAAAATATTAATAAAGAATTATTATTTTCTCTTTATTTGGAAAAACACACAAAAAGAGATGACAAATACCGCCAAGTTGATGAATTTTTTTTTAAATTAAAGGTTTGGAATAGAAAAATTGCTCTGGATTATGCATAAACTTGGCAAAAGTGATGAAAGGCAAAAACATTGGCTTTTAATTACATGTTAAAGCTGCTGGTAATGAACATGCAACTTTTACATATTGCCTAATCAATTGAGAGGGACAAAATTATAAACTTTATTAAGAGCAGTGCCCTTAACAAACATTTATTTTCAAATTTATGTTAAGACATGAAATCTAAAGACAAAAATTTTTATTATATACAGAAGTAAGATGAATGTCAACAGGGTAAAGTTTAAAAAGATTATAATTATACTCACGTGAAATGATTTTTCAGCTTTAATGCATATTGAATGCAAATATTATTAAATATTTACTATACTTTATGTCAGTGTCAAATATTACACGAAGAATTCATTTGTCACGCAGAAAAAAATAAGCAAATCGATCTCATTAAAACATAATTTTCTTTCATATATTTTTGTATATTTGAAGCAAATACTAAAACTACTTCTTGTATATTGCTTAGCAAAGAAATAAATGATTAATGAGAAAATATTTATTTTTATATCTTTATTTTATGTTTAGTACCTGGGATAAAGAAAACGGGTCATAAACGTAAAAAGTTTAAGAAGTGCCATCAGACAGCATTTTAACAATCCTAGCAGCTATTCTAGATTCTTCTAGAAAAATGAGATCTTTAATTGATCTTTTTTTTATTCTTCTTTTGGGCTATTCTTTTGGGTATTTGCTAAATAGTTTTCTACAGAAAGATATATGCATGGCCGGGGTTAAAGTACATGTGCTATCCTTAGTTTTTATAACAGTGTTCATATTTTTAAGGTAAATACTGTCAGGATTTTAAAGTGTGCCATACTGCTTAATTTTTTTTACTGAAATAACCGGGGACATTTTTTTTATGCTTTCTATTACAGAACAACATATGCTACACAATTCTACAGAAATATATATGTGAAAATGTTGGCTATTGGCTATTTGTAAAATAAAATTTGCTGTTCTTACAACATCCTATAGATTTATTATTATTACTTTAGAGTCAATACCATTACCAAAAATTTGTAAAGTCTTTAATTTCGCTCTTTCTGCGCTGGAGCAATTAAACGCAACAATAGATTTCTTACATTCTGGAGAATTTTACAACAGACAAATAAGCTGATGACAAAAATATGTGTCTTTCACTAGAAATATATATCTGATACATGTATCTTTGAAAAACACCTGGTACGTTATGATATAGTGGAAGAGATAGTGCATTTTTTCTTTTTAATGCAAGTTCACTAGCAGTCAAGCAGAAGGACACTAAGTTGGGTAGTCCAATATAAGCACTGAAATCCATCATCATGTGTCAGCTACTATCAAGCCTGAAGAAATAGGAATTTTTTACTAGGAATTTGTCTTTAATTCAGAAGCAATTCAGTGTATATGTAGGTTTCTAATTCTCTTGTATATGTTAAAGTCTGATGTTTGTTGAAAAGAAAATTTTTCATACATAGCTGACAAGAAATAAAAGTTCCTACAAAAAGACACTACCTGGCTAAGAAAGAAGTAATTTATGAAAATTTTCATTCCTTACAGATATGCAATCAGACAGAAAATAACTGCAGAGGATGTTGTAGGGAAAGATTTCTTTCTTAACTGTATCAAAGGCAATGGAAGCATGTTGTTTCCCTATTTATAACTAACAGCAGTAACGTTTAAGAGAAAAATGTCATAAGTTTCTAGAAATATTATTGTAAATTTAAATTTTTTTAAATTGTTAATTTAATTATTAATTTTTAAATAATTAAATTTTTTATTGTAAATTATTATTGTAAATTTAAATTTTTGATGTTAATAACTGATCGCAAATTCATATATTTGCAAGGCATCATCTGAGTGTGTATGATTGTTGTGAAATTACTGGACAGCTTGAGGCAAAATGTCAATTTCCCACAGCAAAATTAGGTACATTAAAGAATATTAAAAGTTACAGAAGGCTGTGAAGGTTATACTGCTGTGTGGAAACATGTTGGAGGCCAAGAGAGCTATTACATTTGCAGAAGACAAATATGTCAATCTAGTAGCAATTAGGATCAGAAATGCTACTCGGCAGACAGCCATAAACCTTACCAATGTTATCAAGATTCATATATTTGCATTTCTCAGTGATTAAATAATGTTGGCTTACATGCATAGAAGTATATTTTGCATGATATGCACTATAAGGATATCACCATAAGAAAATATTAAGTTGGTGTAACTAGCATATTTGCTAGAGTTGGCAAAAGCAGTCCAGAATCATATTCTCTGACAAATTTAGCTTTGCCATGGTTTGGTGTTTGGTTTATTAGATTATGGCAAAGCACTCGAGGGCTATCTGTCTTAAGGGAGGGATGCCTTCGTGGAGGACT